TTCGGTTATTAATTATTATTATTTTTTTTTTGTTCATACCTATTTTTACAAATTTAGGCTTAATAGTCGATTGTTGGACCTACTCTTATTGGGTAATAAGAATTTTGTAAAAAAAACTCATGGGACTTTTTTGTTCGTATATTTTTTCAAAAACTAATATCCTTTATTAAAGTTTTAAATTTTCATCGATCCCATGAAGATTATTTGTAAAATTATTATTCTTCACTCTACCCGGCTGCCCATTATAGCTAGTATGACCGCTATATTAGTATAGAATAGCCACTGATCATATATTTATACATCAGTATTCATTATGGTCAGTTCTCTCGTGGACACCCGTTGCTTAACAGTTAACACTATGGCTGACGGCTGTCATTATTTGCAGAGCTCTATGTCTATTCCGGTGTCGTTAATTTTGATGAAATTAATGTGATATAATAATATATTCCATACTGATCTTCGTGTATGATTAATATAACGACATTGTGTTCACTAAGCAAAGCTATAGGCTTTTCGAACTCGTCAAAGGAAAGTGAGTTACATTATTTGTTGTTATAAAATTATTATTATTTACTATACTATTTTAAATTCTGAACGGAGCGATGAATGTATTGATTTTAAATGATATTTTTTTTGTGTCTTATCACTTTTTGTAATGGTAAAAATGCTTCAATTTTCTTTAACAGCATATTATCTGGTATAAATCTATTTAGTTGATACTTTGGGAGTGTCAAAAGTAAAAAATTCCTATTGGTTTTCAAAAGCATCTAAAAATTATAAAAAACTGATATTTTGCAGATTTGTTCTCGTATTACAGCTCTATGACAAATAATCGTAGATTCATGAAATTTTCTTTGAATATTTATGTAATATTAGCTATTTCTATGCACCATAAAATGTTCGAAAAAATTTGACTCATTTTGAGTTCTACAGAGACATTTGAAATTGTTTAATTTTAATTTTATAAATATCCATAAAATTGTATTTGTTGGGTCAAAATACTTGAAAATATAATACAAGGTTCAGTATAAGTTGTTTTAATAGCCGTTAATAAATATCAAAGATCCATAGGCACAATTTTTTTTTTATAAGTATTTAAAGTTCAAATTTTGACAACATTTATCCAAATCTCGAATAATTTTCAAATAATTTTATAGTTAAAAAATTATAAAATATACAACTTTTTGGCTAAAATTTAAAATTCAAAACATCTAAAAAATGTATAAACACATTTTTTAAATTTGGACGAAATAACTTATTAAAACCAAGAATAACAATTTTAGTTATTTTATCGTTATTTAAAATTATTATTTGTAGGTACTTGAGACTTATAGAGTACATTATCATATTATACAGTTTAGTTGTGTATATACAAAGATATATTTTCGAATACAATTTTTTCGGCATAAATTAATTTAACCTAATGTAGTATACTAATGCCTACAGTATACATCTACAAAATAAACATTTTAACGATTTTTATATTTAAGATACATAATTTATAAGTACATATATATGACACACCTGAGGCAAAAGCTTGCAGACTGTAGAGCAGGGATGTCCAACCCACGGCCCGCGTTGGATTTTTATGCGGCCCTCACTTCAATTTAAAAATCATGAATTAATTGTATATAATACATTAATATAACGAGAACAAATTTATTTTAAGAATATAATACATCAAATAAACTGTAAGGGCCGATCGCACGTCCGTGTTTTTACCGTTGCCTAAGGATTGCCACAACTTAATCGATCCAGATATTGATTCTATACTTTCACAGAAAAAGCAATTTAAAATTTCACATTAAATAAAACTAATGACTTTTTTAAACTAAAACTTTTTTTTTTATTATAAATAAATATATTTGTCTGTGTACTTATAATGAAATATTAATACTTGTAAAAATATTTCTGTTTATTATTTGCTATTGTAAAATTTAAAAAAAAATGTATTGCTGTATTATAGAATATAATTTAATCATTAAATTTGAATGTACAATTATTAAAAAAAGTATGTGGCCCACAACAACTTCTACCTATATGATGTGGCCCAGTCTTCACAAAAGGTTAGACACCCCTGCTGTACAGGTATTATCTGTTTCACATCTTTCCCTAACATATAATTAATAATTAAATAATTTGTGATATCAAATTATGAAAGTTTGGGTTTAATAAGAAAATAAGTAAAAAACAGGAAATAATACAATATTATACATGCATAATGCATACTTATTTAATTACAGAGTATTGGAGATGGATAAAATCAGGGTTGGATTTTCAATGGCGAACCCTGAGGGGAGGGGGGCACTCACATTGACTTTTCTAAACAGATTTATTTAATATTTTTTTTTATATGTTATACTTAATAATTTAAAACCATGATGCCCAAATCGTGTTAGAGACTGTATAATATAGTTTTATAGCCCGCAGATATTATACGTGATGCACTGATGCAGATAATATACGTTTCACGGACGACGGTTAGGTATAACTAGGGCTAAGATTTCTATGCATTATCATATATTTTTCCTCGATTTTGTCCACGATTTTGCTCCATAACTAAATTTAGTAAAACCGTTTTTGTTTTGCATATTTTTGCATGTTTTAATCAAAATTCATATATTCTTAACAAATTGTATTTATCTAATGAAAATCTATAATTATAGTTTTATTTGTCGTAAATAGGTATACCATTTGTAAACTGGCATAGTCGGTTTTATCGGTTCATCGATTTTATCTTAATTCTTAATAGGATTGTGGTCACTTACTTGACTGAGAAGTATAAAATTTTAAATCTTGAGTGAGATATTTAGCGTAACATTTATGTAAACAATTTTGAAAAATGCATGAAGGCCAAAGTGAAGGTGTGAAACTATGATAATTTGTTGAGGAATTTTCAAAACTTAAGGTAAAAACTTAATTATAGCGGAAAGGAGCGATGAATGTATTGATATATTGATATTTTTTTTTGTGTCTGTCATCACCTTTTGGAGCAGTAAAAAAACTTTGATTTTCTATTTCAGAATATTTTCCGGTAGGAAAGTGAATCTAGTTGGAACTTTTGGTAAAAGATCTCCATTAGTTTTCAAAACTGTCTAGAAAATCAAAAACACCAGCAAAATCTATTTTTTTAGTGTAGGTAATTCTAGAAATAATAACTGTAGATACATCCAATTTTCACAGAGATTTTATACTATCATTTTTTATACATGGTACAATTTTCAAAATATTTTGACTCTTTAGTAGAATTGAAAAAAAAAGTTAAGTGTAAAATGTAAATCCACAATATTCTTTTATGAGCATCCTAAAAAAAAAAAATGTTGGTAAAATTCGTCAAAATTAAGAACATTTGTGAATACTGGATTATTTTGAATTGAAAATGTATAAAAAACTTTCTATTATTATCTAAGATTTGAAAATGTAATACAAGATTTCACAAGACTTTTCACAATACAGTTGACACAAATACAGAATAATGATATTTTAAAATATAATATTTTCGATAAAAATCAATTCAATCTACTGTATTACTGAATACTTAAAGTAAAATAAATTACTTTAATAGCAATAATAATATCGTAAAATATACTTAGTAATATGGGCTGACATACCGTATACTCTCAGAATCGTTTTTATTATATAATTATACAATGATCCATTTGACAACTTATGTAGAGGTACAGCAGAGCGGTACCCACTTGCCGAGATACACTCGATACTTATTATCCAGCAGAGCGACTTCGAACATGGGTTTTTTATCAAAATAGAAAATGTGTAATGTGTAGCATGTTACTAATAAGCCATACGATATAAACAAGTATAATAGGATGGAGAATAATTGATACGATTATATAGTAGTATGATGAGGGAGCTGTCTAGTGACAGGACACACAAGAAGCACACTTCCAGGTATTTTTAACCGACGGTGAAGATAGAGATTTTCTTGAATGTACATAAAAGCGCTGTGTACTAATTGAGTCCCTATACCTGAACGGGAAAAAATTAATATACTTTGAGTCCCGGGTACAAACGAGACATATACTAATTGAGTCCGGGGTTAGGAAACTAATTGTATACGAATTGAGTCCGAGGATTATTTTGAGTAAAATATAAAATAACCATCCAGGGTCCAGACACAGTGAAAATTATGCGGTGCCTCGGATATACCTATATATACATATTATATTATTGAAACTTTGTCCAAAAGTAAACAAAATACCAATGGTATGTAGTTATTATTTTTCATTCCGTGGATAGTAAACAGTTGAGTAAACTGTATTGGGCAGCTTTTAAAAGTCCCGTCAATATATATTGTATCAAACGAAAAAATATATATTGGTTATATATTAATTAAAATATTAATATAATAATTATTTTATATTATAATATTTTAACGGGACTCAGTATTATACCTACAATAATTTCACTGGACTCAATTGGTTTATACCCTAAAACAACCCGGGACTCAATTCGTCATAAAAGGTTACTGGGACTCAGTTCGTATGCAGCCCATAAAAGTACTTAAACATTTTTTATAGTTTTATGGAGAAAAACCAATTTTGAAATTAATATTTAAATCAAAATCACGTATGATTACAAATTGTAGTTTTAAATTTAAAATCAATGAATAATTGTATTAGCTTTAATAGTTTTATGAGCGTCTTTTAAGTGTTTAGTCCATATTCCACATAGTATAGCAATACGGCAAGTATTAGGAAATTGATAGTTAAAAATATTTTGTATTTTAAAGACTTTATATTATAATACTATTAAAATATTATAACAAATATGTCTGATATGCCATGATTGAATTTCTTAATTGAAATTTATTTTTCGGTGAATCGATTAGGTATTAGTATTTTGAGTGCAATAAACAATAATTGATTTTAATTTAAATTAAATAAAACATCTCTCCCAAAATCAAAACCGTTTCATTGTGTTAAGAATATATATATATGTTTTTAAAATTAAAACAACGAACTACATTATTTTATTTTCAGAAACTGGCACTTACGAAATATAGCGATGCATGGATTTATCTATTAGGTATATATTTATAATTATGAGTAGGTGTATTATGGTTTATTGCTAAATTAAAAATAATAAGAACTTCAAATTTACTTTAAAGAGTTACAATCGTTAGAACTTGGAATGCCGGCATTTTTTAGTATACACTAATACGCTATAATATGTCTTAGCTGCAGTTGTAGATCAGAAAAATGCATTTATATAAATATGCTATTTTTTATTTGAAAAAACTTGACAGTTTTCAATTTTCCCACTAGTTAGGATTTTAATAGTGAGTAATTTAACTAATGGTATAGCGTTACCTAAAATACTGAAAAAAAGCAACAAAGACTGCAATCAGCATGCAGTTAATAATATATTCTTACTGGTTAGCTATAATCGTTGACAAACAAAAATTAATGATTCTTAATTGATTTAATAAAAAGGCCTACTATTGTGTAGGTAGTAGGTACGATGCATACCGGCGGTCTCTACATTTTTGTTAACACGATGTGCTCGATGTTGCGTAATTTTATAAATTGTACCATAGTTGTAAACAACACAATTAAATAATAGTACCTATGTATAGGAAAACAAATAGTCCAGAAAACTTCCATGAAATGCACAACAACCGATTGTATGATGTTCTCGATTCTCCCACAATTTTCCAACAGCGAAGATATTTTATGTAGTGATATCAATATAATAAACGAAATCCAAGTTGAAAAGATGACAAAAATGTGTTCGATCTCAAGAAGTAATAATAAAAATAGATGCACGATGTACATATATTAAAGTATTAAAACTTTAACTAAAATTGTGTAATAAATGCAAAAATGTAAAATTCGGAATAATATTTTTATGTACTTACTAATACGTATCTTAGGTATATCGTGTATATAAGCCATATAGATACGATACAAGGAAATTGTTTATTTTAAATTATTTATGAATTTATGATGAGTTCAGCTAACTATATTACAAACGAAATTTAACTATTTTTCATTCTTTCGTTTAATTATTTTTTTTAAATAACTATTTCAATGATGATGTGTAATTATAGTATTATGAGACTGTTCATTGACTAAAATAATAATAAATTCATTTTTATCATTTCAACATAGTACATTTTTTTGAAGCTGATAAAAGAACAATTAATTTAATGATTATTTTGAAAATGATATAGGTAATTATAAATTTGATAACGTTGGATCATTCTTAGACCTTTGTACTTAATCTTGTCGTATTTGAAGGATTCCATTGTTATTCGATAAATAAATGCCTAGTCGTATATTCTTATTCTCAAAAGAAGTAAATCGTAATTAATAAGTAACTCATAACCTATTTTTCGTGGTTTGTGTACGACATTAATAATGTTTATTATTAATAATAACATCATTCATTAAAAAAAAATTAATATTCTTTATTAATTATTGTTGTTTTATATATATCTACACTATTATTGATTGAGTTTAGAAAATGTATTCCATTATGGTGATAGGTGAATGAATACATGTGCCGAGACGTGAGTGTATAATAAATTATATACGTTAATTCAGCATTATCCATATCAACTACCAAGTATGGTAACGAAATGCTCCTCATGTTTGTGCTTTAATTATATTATATTATTAATACGCGTAAGCATAATGTTTAAAATTGCTAATTAAAATAGATAACATATTATTACAATTATATAAATAATTATATTATAATATCATATTGGTTAATTAAACAAGATCGGTTTTACGACGTAATTATAAATCATTGTAATAATTATTTACTGATGCAGCGAACTCTTTATGTTAATTGTACATATTAATTGATATTAAAAAATTTACCTTCTTTCATCATACATATATTATTATATTCTAGGTTACTTTAAGAGGACTCAATATCCATCACATGTGTTGTCTCTGTCTTATTTTAATACACAAACATAAACCATGACAAATTTTGTGTTCACTTGAATACAATTTACGATTTGAAATGACCTATGATAAAATTTAAAAGTAGGATTATTATAATATAGATTCCAGGGTATCTTATTACATTTTTTAGGATTTTATTGATATTCTGAGTTTCCTTAGGTCAATGGTTCCCAACCTTTTTATTCTACGCCGCCTTGCAAATTTTCAAAATTCTCAAGTCACTCCCCCTGCTTAAATTAGAGTCTTGACGACCTTTTTTTATTTTACGGTCGATAAGTGACCGTTCAAAAATTGATTTATTGTTTTCAATTTTACTGATTATAAAATGGCATTATTAGTTGAACAACAAAAATCTATTTTTAATCCCCCATTCAGTATATATAGTATATACTATCTAAATTCCCACTGGTTGGGATTCTCTGCCTTAGATAATTTTTTTATCTTTAGATTTTATTCCCACATCTGACTCAGTCAGATATCTTGGACTTAACTTGGATAAGCGCCTCACTTGGAATAGCCATATCCGTATAAAAAGACTTGCCTTAAACGCCCGTCTTCGCAGACTACGAACGCTACTCACAAATAACAAACACTCCAGCTTAAAAATTAAAGTTCTTATGTACAAAATATTACTCAAACCTCTATGGACATATGGCCTCCAACTATGGGGTACAGCAAAAGCGTCCAATACAAACAAAATTCAGCAATTCCAAAATATTGCTCTTCGAAAAATTACTAATGCTCCACCCTTTGTTTCGAATTACACTATTCATAATGACCTGTCAATTAAAACTGTGACAGAAGAAGCTATACGTTTCGACAAAATCTTTCATGCCCGGCTGCAAACACACCAAAATCCACTCATTAAAAACCTGTCCATCCAAACATTATCTGGCAACCCCTGGCGTCGATTAAAAAGGAGATGGTGTCGTGATTTGCTAGGGAACTAATATCAAAAAAAAATAATAAATAAAAATAAATAAATAGGTATATAAGCATAACCAGTTTCATACAACTTCCAGTCAAGTGCCATCAGTGGGTGGCTTCTTACTCACGTACTTCATGTATTATTAACCCTTATCAAATATGCTAATTGTGCATAATTGTACAGATTGTTTATATTATTGTGTAAAATAAAAAAAAAATCTTTAGATTTTATCATGGGTCAATTCACTATAGCTTTAAAAATAACGGAGTAAAATGAATTATTTCATGTACAATTTTTCTATGTAGTACGTTTGTAAGACAACACTTGTGGATGTGGGGTCCTCTTAAGAGGACGTTATACCTGTATGTGTGTTCTCCGTGTTACAAGTGCGTAACACACCAAATTTTACTCTCAAAAGATCACGTTTTGCTCTGTCAGTTTAAAAATTTGAGTGAATTGACCTCTTATTAAAACTAATGGTAAGATTATTATGGAGGGCATCTCATGGGCTTTTTATAATATTTTAATTTTAAAACGAATTATGAGTATTTTAAGATGTTCAACAATTTAAAATTTTAAAATACTTATAACTCGTTTTAAAAATAAAATATTATAAAAAGCCCTTGAGATGCCCTCCATAATAATCTTACCTTTAATTTTAATAAGAGGTCAATTCACTCTAATTTTTAAACTGACAGAGCAAAACGTGATCTTCTGAGAGTAAAAATTGATATGTTACGATCTGCAGAGACACATGCGGGTATACGTCCTCTTAACTACATCCTTGTCAATCATAATATAGTTATTACTTTATTAGTTATTATACTATTGAGTATAAGGTGCCTAAAATAAAATCTATGGTTAAATTATCCACATTTAAAAAAATGTAAAGTACCAATAAAAATTATTAAAAATAAAAAATTTAAAGACCTACTTTGTTGTTTTAAATTTTTATTTTATCAAAATTAAATTATTTTATGTGTAATGACATGATAATAGATAGATTCTAATATTTTATATACCTACCTAAGTCGTAAATATTAATATATGTATAATATGGTTTAATGTAAAATGGTTAAATGGATTGTAAATTGTAGGATCCACCTAAGTTAAGTTTGGAAATTAGTTTATTAATTTCGTTTTTTTATTTAAAAGGGCAGTGGTAAACTCTACCAATTTTTAAAACTAGTAAACTCTCCTGATGGTAAACTATCCCAGGTCAACTTTATGTTTACCTGAAGTAAATATGTAAACTTTCCTGAGTTGTTTTAAATGTTATTGCTACACTATGAATTGACTTCACTGCAACTACAGAGATTGTGATAATCATTTTAAATATTTACTATCAATCGTATTACCGCTAACCTGTATTAGTAATTTAAATATTTGATTGCCATCAAAATATTTTTAATTTAAATATTTAAAACGATGTTGACTATAATGGCTCAACCAAGTTTTTAAACCTTAACAACTGCGTAATACAAATAACGCCCCATGCTCGCCTAGCTTAGTAGTACTGAAGTATTGTAGATCTGGGAGAGTTTGCATGGTCTCATCAGGTAGTACTGAAGTGGACCCTAGAGAGCTTACATGTTCCCGTCAGGTAGTATTGGAGTAGACCCGGGAGAGTTTACATGTCATTAAAATCTGGAGAGTTTACAATAGCCCACTCATGTAAGTTTATTTTTTAAATATTACATTATTATATCTATACTATATGTCTATAATTCTATATCTAATGATACTATTATATGTAGTGGTTTGATACATTATAATAAAGATTATGATCAAATTAATTAGATACCTACACTAAATGAATCAGTATACTTCTAACTTCTAAGTTATTTTTGAAGGGACGCCATTGAACTTATATTGAGTAGTGACAACAAGTAAAACAACAAAGTAGTTAGGTACAAGACTACGATGTTTATTTTTTACAGATGTCCTAAATTGCCAACAAAAGTTGTGTAATACCGTATTCCTATTTGTTTTAGATCCCATAATAACTAATAAGTGGTTTAAAAGGAATATTACAATATTGTGCTCTCTCATTATTTTTTTTTTTATTATTAAAAGAATAATTACAATCTATACAAACATTTTATACAATAAGTAATTTTTTTGATGGAAAATAGCGTTGATATAACAGAGAGGGAAGGTACTCAGTAGTACCACCCGACAGATCAAGCAAGGAAATCTCTAGGCCAAGATGGTTTCAATCTTCTTCTAGGATTATCGGGAATTGTACAAGAAGACAGGCGTTTAATTAATGGATTAGTATGGTGAGAGTAGATAATTAATAATTATACAAGTATAAGATATATGAATGAAAATGAATAAATAGCGTCTTATATAGTTTTATGAATATATATTAAATAGGGGGAATGTGGGCAACCGCTCTCCTATACAGTTATTGGTATATCGAGTTCCGAGTTTTCGATAACTTCAATGATAAATCATTTCAAAGGTACGAAACACTATTCTAGGCGAATGCAACCTATTTTATATATTACAAATCATATTTTATGATGTGTTTTTAGATATTGCTATTGAAGTAATTTATTTTACTATTAGTATTGCAGTAGGTTGATTTATTTTTTTCCGAAAACATTGCATTTATTGAAATAGTTTTGTAAATTACTGCAGAACTGTGTGAAGTGAATATGTTTGTAAACGGGAAATAGAATCTTTTAAAAATTGCAATGTGTTTATTTTAAGTTATAACATATGTTACAACAATGTTGTAGTTACAAGTTTACAATCTTTGTAGGGAATAACCGTTTCATATCATTCTAAGTTCGTGGTTTATTAACTCACGCAAGTAACATGGTAGAATTTTTGGACTGAAAAAGTCTCTACCCTCCCTCTCCAGAAGATGAATTGATGCCGTTTCTGATATGATATTATTTTGGAGAATGTAATATAATAATCAGTATTTTTCATTAAAATATTATATGAATATAAATATGTAGGTATAAATATTATGAACTAAGGTGTAATAACTATTTATCTCTTTATATTTTTGTCAAATTTATGTTTCTTTTTATTTATTCAATTTTGAAATACGAATACATTATATACATGATATATTTAGTAAATTAATTTATTACATGTTTACATAATATATTACCAAATACCTATATAGCTTTATAATATTCATAACTTAAATGTGCCTGAGTGATTAAAAATAAGTTAATACTGAGTATAAATGTACTATATATATTATATGTATATTATATATGTTATCAATTGTCATTATGTGTAGTATTTAAGTAACTACAAGCTTGTAACCTTTAAACCGTTAAATATAATTTTATATTTCCAGATGTTTTCTTAGGTTTTTGTTATAAAACTCATAAAAATGAAATATACTTTTCCTATATTTTTAAATGTATTCAGTCAAACTTGAAAAACCCGTGTACTTGTAATTTGTATTATAGTTTATAAATTTATAATATTAAATATTAAAATAGGTAAAATTTTAATCTAAAATTATATTATTCAATATCATTGTTAAATTATGGTCGTACTAAAAAATATCAGGTTAATTAATTCTGTAGCCTATAGAATTCTGTAATCAGTTGTGTTTGTGTATATAACATACTTAAACAGTCAATACAAATTTAATGTATATCAATATTTGCAAATTGATATCAAACATATTATATGTAAACTGTATAGATGACGTGGGTATACTGGATTGGTTGCGAGAATTGCGAATGAAAATGTTTAAATAATTTTTTTAATTCACTGAGAAAAATCAAAGTACAGAAAATACTCAGGTTTTCATTATTCATTAGTCTTATCTTTTGAAAACATTAGGGTGAGTAATTAAAATTTAGAGGTACCTTCATGACTATACAAAAAATCCTCGATTGGCCAATTGCGAGAGGGTAATCTTTATTTCCTAGCCTCGCATCATGTTTGTCGTGTTGAAAAAGAATAATACTTGCGTAGAACACATATTTTTTAGGTGGCTTTTTCGTAGCTATTAAGTGTAATTTTAGAGTGTCGCATGTCGCTTGTATGGTACCTACAATATTGAATACAGTTGAGTTCAGTCGAATTGTAATTTATTATAAGTAGATCGTGAAAAAAGGCGTCATTGAACTATTGAAGATCGGTCTATTAAGTGCATCAGGCTATCAGCTGTAATGTGACGATGATAAATATATTCTCGATTGGTTATTTTATGATGCCCGCGTTATTGATTTATCATACGTGCTCTCTGCTTATACGTCAACGCATTTCACATTTCGCACTATAAAATATAATAATAGCTTACATGATATGATATAAAATCACTGAAAACGAATTATATTGTATACCTTAATACCTTAATATGTTTTAGGACTTCGGGTAGAGCAAGTGTGGGTACAGACGAAAGGCAACGGATAAAAAATGTATCGTTTATCGTTAGGTACACACAGATAACTTAGCTATAAGTATCACTGTTGTACTTAGATTAATTTTTGTTTGTACTATACATAACACAGGTAACATCAGAACTCTGTATAGGAACTAATAAAATATAATATTATTATTTATTTTAATATATTATTACTATTTACTAGGTAGTTATGACAAATGTGACTGTTCATTTGGTCATTATTGAAATAGGAAAAAGTCGTATACCTTCGTAGCTTCTCGGGTTCAACACTTCAACAATAATATTGTCTTTGCAAAACAATATGTCATATTATTGTAATATTATATTGCATATAAATACTGAGGTACCTATGCTACATATACGACAAGAAGTTGAAATAAAACCCAACAGGTACGCGCGTTCTTAGTACGGACTAAGAATAATTAAGATATATCTAAGTCCGTGGTTTTTACGGAACAGAAAATAAGTCTAAATTTTCCCTTATCGTTATTTACCGATAAGCTTTGACGCAATAATAATAAAAGTATACAACGTATGGCAGTCGGTAAACAATATGCCAATATAATAACATAATGTGTGCCTACGTTGCTCGTACGCCTACCTATTAATTTTGATATCTCGTCACGTCGTCCTCCCGTCGAACTTAGCAACTATAATATTGTATAATGTCGATATTCATTTATATTATTGTAAATTTGCAACACAGTCGTGTAAGTATTTAACACTTGTATTTTTTGCTAAGGTAACGAGTAACTGCGTAAGACATAGGTAATTATTTGAGACAAATCGCTCCTGAACGACCGACGACGTAGAAGCGTAAGGAAATTGACATGGTTTCAGTAAAATCACTAAGTGGTTGTTTCGAGCTCCCTAACCCTCCCACCACCAGTTACACGCACTCACACATAATTACTGTATACACGATTTTATCGCAGATTTTTAAATTATGCTATATACATAATGAGATAATTGATAATAATTATGTACAACTGAGTCGAAAGCCTGAGTTTAATAAAGCATCGTATAATAAAAATGTGTGGGGCCTAACCTATGAGTCCCAGCCATTATTTATGTGGGTACGTCAACACGTCCAACTAGATTCTGCGACGCGGAGTACGTAAAATGAGAAGCAAAAGGTCTGTCGATTCGATACCGATCGCAGTGATGTCACGGAAAACAAAAATCGCGTACCTTTATCATTACTTTCGACCGCCAGATGAGTCACAACACTCACAACTCACAGCCATCACAACGGCGTCGGCGGCCCGGGCGCACCCACCGACCCAACCGTAGGCACACCGCTTGAACACCACCAGGCACCAGGCGTCGGGTGCCGGGTGGCGCAAATAATTCGTTCGGCCGCTACTGGCGGCAGCACAAGCGGCGAAAACTGTATCGGTTCTCCCGGCCGAGTGATTAAATCCGTATCGCACGGAGGGATCCGACGCCGCCGCCGCGACTCGGGACCGCCTCGGTACGATATCGCTGTATCAGCAGTACGAGTACGGCTTTTCTCGCCTCAGTTGCTTCTCCCGCAGTCCCGCCGGCAGCGCCCCCCATTTGTGTTCGCGACGTCGCCGCCGCTGAATCGTATTATTCACTATTCGCGCTCCGTGATCGTACCGTCGTAAACGTAGCGTTGTTATTTAATTTTGTCCTCGCGATTCGCGACCGTTATCGTTCCATCCTTCTTATTCTTACTATAAACGTCGTCCGCAAATTGGTGTGAACTTCTTATTCGTCCGACCAGAAAGACTTCGGGACGTCCGGCCTGGTGGTGCCCATTCGTGCGCACCCCGTCCCAAAAGGAAAGTCACTCGTCGTGTGATGAACGCGGTCGTCCAGTCGTAGGGTAGTATATTGTTTCAGGTATGTACGGGTGCGTTCATTTATATATTTCTCATTCTTGAGCAAGCATATCCCCCTTCGTCCGCCGGCCGGTGAGCGACCGAACGAGCGGGAGCGCGTGCGCGTGCCCGGCCGACCGATCGTACACGTGACACGCAGAACTGTTGTAGCCGGCAGCCGCCCGCCGCTGTAAGGCCTACAACAAGTGTTCTGCCGCCGCTTGTGCGGCTCTCTTGCTGCGACCTTGGACACGTGTTGTTCGCCAAAACGGCATGCGTGTCGTGCGTCGTAGCTGGTGACTACTCGTTAGTCGTTATGCCGTTTTGACCAAAAAAAAAAAATTATCTTTCGCATAATCGTATTTCCCTCCCTCCTCCCTCCTTCCCGCCCAACCCACCTCCGTGTCTAACCAACTGCGACCCTAATAATGCCGCGCAAAGTAGATTCCGAGCTGTCGTTTTTTTCTCTTGAAAAACGTTTTTTTGGTACGCCCCACTCCACATCCATGGGCCATCACTCATCTGCTAATCGAGATTTCCTGATGATTTGGATCTCATTCTTCTTGCACGCCGTGCGCTATTCGAACGTAGAACCCGATTTGAATTTACACTGATATATTTAGATTTCAAACACTGCGCAGTTCGTAGTTGGTACGCCGATAACCATAAATCGAATATTTATGATTTCCTTTACGGGGAGAGGGGGCATCTGACAGAGACACTAAAATTTGATACAAATTTAAAAAACAAGGATCTGAGAGGGGGGGGGGAGATCATCCAAATCGTCCTCCGTAAACACGCCACTGAATCACCATTCACCAGTACTGTTCCCGCCCAAGTAACGCCATAGACACCCCTTAATAAAAATAATAATGAGTTCTTCGGACTTCCATTACTATAATTTTAGACTTGAGGTTGGGTGGCTGCAGTTCTGACCTTTTTTTTAAATAAAAGAAAGTATGGTAACAGTCACCTTCATACAGTTAAAATAATATTGAAATATTGGATATTATATGTGTTAGCTTATATTTGATGTAGTAGGTATTTTTATAATTTTATTGTACTACAAAAATAAAGTTAACAATATTATCTATACAAGTTTATCCAAATAAATCTGAGTTAGCTCCAAACAATTATGGAAGGGGGACCTTTGGCCCACCCTTAAGCTATGCCTATGTAGTATGCATACTTCTGTGTAGGTACCTACACACATAAATTATGTACCTAACCAGAAAAAATTGTTGCCCAAACATTTTCTGTCTAATCTTCGCTCTTATTGTTCTGTTGCTGCTTAAGACAAGTTGATTATTCTTATAAGCAATACTTATCTTAATCACTCATATTTGTTGTGATTATTCATTCGGGTTTTTTTTAAATTCATAAGTTACAAATGTACATATTATTTGATACTGTGCAAAAGTTGCCAAAGGAAATCATACATTGTGGTAAACCAGGTTTTTATCATAAGGTTTTTCAACTTCAGTGTTTTATATTAAAATCATATTCATTAGTTAAAGAAGACATTTTTGTGGTGGTGTTATGTGCATTATACAATTTAATATATTTAAATACAATGTGTGATTTCTCTAATATAGATATCAGTATGACACTTTAATATTACATAGTTGTATTTACTAATTAGTTTTATCTAAAATCCATTAAATTTCTCAGAATATATTTTTAAATATGATGATATGTTAAACATTAGAATTACCAAGCAGCAATTACTTTTCATTTAAAATTAATATTTTATGAAAATCGATGAAAATATAATTGTATTAAATTAAATAGTTACACACTAAGTAATTTTTTTTACTAATATATTAAACAGTAATAACTAGTAACTTGCTAAAAATAAATACCTATGAATCTAATATTATATAGTACATTGTACATATTGTATGGTTCAGGAGTTCAAGATATTGGTTTGAAATCATATAGGTATTATACTCGGTAGTAAATTAATTAAACATTGATAATTGAGACACTAATTGTCAATAACTGTTAAACTTTGTACTATCAAATATATAATTCAGTATTCTAGCCACTAGGTATTTGGATTAATTAATAAAAATATTTTAAATGCTTGTTTAATTTTTATTTGATTAATTAAAAAAGGACTGACCAGTTTTTTTTTTTATTATACTTTTATCGGAGATATCTGTAAAGTAAGGAACAGTTAATTTCTTAAAGATATAACAATTTTGATAGATATGCAAATTGATTTAAAATACTACTAAACCTAGATTATTAAGTTTGATTTCCTTTTGTTTTCTTTAAAATACATCATATTATTATGTTAAATTTTATAATTACTCAAATGTCATATTTTTAAAGTTGATAAAATCAAGCTATGGACGAATCTGTAGGAATTACTCACAATGGGACAACACTTCCTACCCAACGAAATAGGAAACAACATCATCAAGCAATTGTTTGGCGCAATGTTATGTTGTTTGGTTACCTTCATTTGGCAGCATTGTATGGTGTTTTGTTAATGTTTACCTCTGCTAAAATTGCCACAACTATTTTTGGTATGTTCAACAACCTATATATTTAATATTTCTAACTTAGTTGTTGAATATATATTTTTTTTCATTTAGCAATATTGATGTATCAAGTATCTTCAATTGGCATTACAGCTGGAGCTCATAGACTTTGGTCACATCGGGCATATAAAGCTAAATGGCCATTGCGTGTGATATTAATTATATTCAATACAATAGCTTTTCAGGTATTTTTTTTACTATTATTTATTAACTATTTAATATTCTAAAACGGTATTGAAAAAAAAATTAAGTCATGAAATTCTAATCTTGAAATTTGTTTTAAATTATTTACTCATCTGGAATCTGAACTGATATACTTTGTTTTTCTCCTGAGTAACAAGCTGGGTATTTTAATTGGTAGAACTAAGTATTTATTGAATCAAAAAATATTTACTAAAAAAATTTACAAATATATTTCTTATTAAATGGATTAGTAAAAAAATGCTAGTGCAAGTATAATACCAAGACGTGGCTTTAATCTTGTACCATAATATTATTTTTTTATGTTAAATATTAATAATTTTAATTTTATTTGAAACCATATAAAACTATGGTTTATTTGGTTAATTGTATACACAATATTATTCAAAGTTATAATGATTTGGATAATTTGAATGAAATATTAGTTATAAACTTTTATTTATAACATATAAAAAGTAGGATATTATCTTTTTAAGCTTAGTGACAAAATTATCTTAAATATTAATATTAATACTTTCTATCAATACAATTCGACTGATTGGTAGATTCTGATTGTGCTTCAATGATTATATTGATATATATCAATGATTTTAGTTCTATACATTAATTTACACTAATTGATTTTATAAAACATATTATATTAGTTGTAAATTTGAATTAAATTAAATTTGATGTATATCTGTACCTACTTCAATAAAATGAAGGTACTATGGTCTCCAATAAAATACTATTTTAATCATAAAAACAAATTGTAAATAAGAAAAATTTTCCAATTTTAATTAAGTTTTTTTTATTGTTTAACTTAAACCTGTCTTATATTCCAAATAATTTTTTTACTTTCTATTAGATGTAAATTTGTGTATTATTGTTAGAATTATCTTGTTATTTATTTAGAAATGAAACTAAATATAAATAATGTATGTACAGAATGTAGCAGGAAGATATGACAAATCAAATAATTTTTGTTGCAATCCATATTCTTATAATTTATATATATATAGGTATGTATAATTTATTATTGATTCTGGCGCTACACATACTAATTCATTAATTTAAAAATTAGGTAATAACTTTCTAGATTTCAACAAATAACTATTTGAAAATTCTCATAAAATATCTTTAAAAAGTATATATTTTTTGATTTTAAAATGTTTTTTTATGGCTGGATCAATTTCCTTTACAAATATATTGAGATTTCAAATAATTTAAAAAAATAAACTATGACTTTAAATAAATGTTTTTATGATCAAACATTTTCTAAAAACCAGATTTACAAATTAGCACAATTTCATTTTTCACCAAAAAATTTAATCAGATTTAAAATTTTTATTTTCAGTACTAAAAAATAAAAATAAAAATGTTGTTTTATATGTGCTGTGCCAGTCAATAAATTATGTATAAAAAAATATTTGTTGGAAAAAAAATTATTTCATTTGTCAGGTCTTCATGATACATTCTGTAGTATAGTATGTTAAGCAATAAAGCAATTAATTTGTTTAATAATCCCTTAAAGTATAGGTTAAATTATAACTTAAATTTATGATACTGTTCTGTTTTATCTTTAATCTATTAACTCTAAAATATAAACAAAACAATTATTTTTCATCGTTGAATTCATTTATTCTAGACGGTATTTTATGTTGGTGAAAGTGCTCGTCTTAAACAGATTAGGCACAGAATATGGAATATTTAAAAATAAGTATGTCCTCTTAAGCAATTTTTAGTAATATATGAGTGAATTAGAGCCAATAGTTGAACTTCTAAATTACTCGCGTACAAAACGTGTCTTATACTTATTGCATTTATTTTATTACCTTTAGTAATAGTACTTATACACAAATTAAAATAATCATCAATCATTATGGTTATTATCATATATACTACTTTAATATTACATCTTTCATGTATATATATATTGCTTTTTAAAATATTAATATTTTAATTTGAAACTGATCGCTTCTATCATAGTTAAAGTATTTATGTAAATTTATTTGTATGCTTACTTTAGTTGTTTGTTAACATCTTTTGTCAAATAGACATTTTTGGCAGGAAATAACTAAAAATTAAATTTTAATAATTGTTAATGTTTGTATCATTTTTTTAAATTACACTTAAAATACACTTGTATACATACAATAAAAAAATATATACAAATAACATAAATACATTTTAAACTTTTAAATCAAACAAATTAATTAACATTTTTAGCTAAGTACTTAAAAAAAAAAATTAATTACTTATATATAAGTATATCTAATAATTATATGTATATATATATATATTTAACTTACCCAACAATTATAATTCAGATAAATATTATTAACTTTGTTATTTTTTTTATTTTAATACATTTTTTTCTAATGTAGTTAGATTATTTAAATTAAATTTGTACAATATAGTTTATCTCAATATTAACATTTTCTATACTTATTATTTTGCGTTATGTCAGTTTTTCATTTTAGAATGTTATATTTTTGTTTTATATAATGTATACAATTTATAATTTATTAAATTATCTGTAGTTGTTATTAGTTGTTCACAAATATTTTATTAAATTATGCATATTATGGGTATTTTTTTTATTTGGGATTTTATCGATATGTTTATGTTTTAGAACCATGTGTATGAATGGGCTCGTGACCATAGACTACACCACAAGTACAGTGAAACAAATGCAGATCCGCATAATGCAAACAGAGGATTTTTTTTTTCACACGTTGGTTGGTTGTTGTGCAGAAAACATCCAGAAATTATGGAAAAAGGACGTGGCATTGATATGGCTGATTTACTAGCTGATCCAATTGTTTCCTTCCAAAAAAAGTATAGTATTTGTTAAAATTTAAATGCTATACAATTATTATGCAGAATTGTGTAACAATTCATTAGTTCTTAAAAGTCTTGATGCTTTTGGACTCAAGTTTGAATAATTTCCTCACAACTACTCTCCAGTACTCTAAGCCCTTGGCATGTCTTCTCTGACTGACAAGGGTTGAAGCTAATGTAAGATTTTTTTAAAAGGTGATTTTAACCTTATCAATTGTCTCAACATCAAATTCCCATCCTCTTGTATTAACTTTTCTTTTCTTATTCCTACTTGAATTGCCATTGAGTATCCATAATTTTGGATGAATTAATCTAGTTAAACTATTTTATCCCTAAATTTTAATTAATTTGTTGTTCTTATGTTACTTGCTTTATTTTGCTATTGAATGAATGTATTTATAAGTTATACTTTTAAGTTTTAATGTCATGTTTATAACTTTGCTACCTGTATTTTTGAAAATGAATGAGTAATTATTAACTATAAATTACAGATATTACAAGTTCCTGATGCCATTGTTGTGCTTCATATTACCTACAATACTACCGGTGTATTTTTGGGGCGAAAGCTGGGCAAATTCTTGGTTTGTGGCCACTATGTTTCGATACACTTTCTCACTTAATGTTACTTGGTTAGTAAATAGTGCTGCACATATGTGGGGTGGAAGACCATATGACAGGTAATATTTAAAGTTATTATTGTAATTTTAAAATTAATGACGTAACATGTAACTTTTTATAAGTAATTTTTAATTATTTATTTTAGATTTATAAATCCTTCCGAAAAAATAACTGTAGCTTTATTGGCATTGGGAGAGGGTTGGCACAACTACCACCATGTTTTTCCGTGGGATTACAAGGCAGCAGAATTGGGCGATTATAAACTCAATATGACAACTGCATTTATTGATTTCTTCGCTAAAATTGGATGGGCATACGACCTGAAGACTGTCTCAGCTGATACTGTTCGTAAACGTGTGGAACGTACTGGTATAAATGGTCGTGGAGATACTCAATCATCATGGGGTTGGGATGACAAAGATTTACCACAAACAGAACGCGAAGCTGCCACAATTATCAACAAGCAAGGATGAATGACTTAAACCAAAGCATGTATTTTAAGTTTGTATTATGTATCAGTTTACTGTATTCTGAGTGACACCGTGTGTATTATGTTGTATATATTAATATTATGTTTACCACGATTAAAGTTTATTTGTTTATATATAATCATCATGGTTTATATTTGATAGCCTAAATTGTATTATATGGTAATAACTAATAATATCTGATAATAATTTTTATAGGTTAAAATTTAATTTGAATGTTGTTTCATCAGCAAAATAATTGCTCATTTAAAATTCATGACAATAGTATTTATTTGATTTGATCAAAGTTTCAAAATCTTCAGTTATGGATAGTTGTCCCTGGGATCCAGGCCGTATTTATTTTGATGACCAACTGAAATTTAAATAAGTATAAATCATAGTGTGTCCCTAATAAACATTTACTAATTTAAAGTATTGGGCTAATTATTATACATGTATTAGGACATGAGTTACTTGCATCATATTAAATTACACTTTGCATAATAATATGCAAGGTGTATAAGATGATACTTCATCATTGGTTACATTATTCTTAACCTTAACAACTAATCTATTTTATATATCAAAAATTGCTATTAAAATATACTTAAACCAACCTTTTTTTAAATTTATACTACGCAGAAGAAACATTAGAGTTAATGGTATATATTAAAATTAATACAAGTTGGACATATAATAGTAAAAATTTAAAATTATGAAATATTTTTCAGATTACTTTAAAAAACTGATTCATAAATCAGTTATATTCACTTCAAATTTTTAATTATATTATTTACATGGAATCATCTTGTGTATAGTAGGTGTTTGTGGTCTATAAATATTGGTAATTATATTATATTTATCTGCAAACTCATCTTGAATCTTGAAAGTCTTTAAAAACAATCACCTATTTATTACTTTATAATAGGAACCAGTCTTTGGTTGCTAATCAACCATTTCTGTAGGTTATGTATAATTACTATGTTTATTGTTATTAATTTAATACAATTTATTCTAAGTTCATAATGATAATTAAGTTTAGTGGTAGTTATACCACAAATATGTCGGGATGCCCAAATAATATCAATATTTTAGAAACTAATATCAATAATTTGATATTATATCAGTGTTGTTAATATATTATATGACCCACATTTCTGTGAACCGTTTTTTTTTAATTACCATAATATAAAAATATAGTATACATGAATACTTATCCATTAATTGAATAAGGTATTCACGATTTACCATGTGTAGATGTATTATTGTATAATTAATGAGTAATGACATTTATATTGTCATGAGTGAATAGTGAATATTTTAACTTTAAATTAATAACAATGTAACAGACTATATCTGAAATCTGAATAACTGACAACTTTGTAGTTGTCCGTTTTTGTAAATTGTAAATAAATATATTAACTGGCATCACTTATCAGTTGTAATCAAATTTTATCGATATATCAAAATTAAATTCAGTTTGGGCAATGGACGTGAGGAAGGAATAATCATATTGTGTTCACACAATATAGATATGTTTTATCCACCCCGTGGTTCACACTAATAGATTTAATTTAAATTACCCATAGTAGTAACTAATAAATATTAATAACATATACAACTAAATTAATAGCACTTTGTTTATTTTCACTATAAACACACAACTGTAATATAAACGTGATTTACATAAGTTTAAAAAAAATAAAATTATTTGAAATATTAAAAGAGATTAACAGAGACGCACATAATATTTAAAAACACACTAATATAAAAAATTATAATTCATAATAATAAAGGCTAGGCGCCAGACGGTATTAAGATAACATTATTATAATTTTTTAATCATCTTTTTTATTAATAACAGTTGTTAATTTTCGATCTTCATTTGAAATGTTGGAATCGTCCCATCCCCAGATTCCATCACCATCAGGATGTGAACCATCTCCAGTCCTTTTGGCTCGTTTTAAAACCATATCATTCGAGACCACTTTCATATCATAAGCCCAACCAATAAGTGAGAAAAAGTCTATGAATGCAGTTGTCAAGTTCGCTCTGTAATTTCCAAGTTCAGCTGCTTTGTAATCCCATGGGAACACATGATGGTAATTGTGCCATCCTTCGCCTAAAGCTCCAAGTGACACAGAGAGATTTTCAGATGGATTAATGGATCTAAAAATAATAGAATTAACAAAAATAGATACCAATAGAATTAAGGATTAAAGACTTACGCATCATATGGGCGTTTACCCCAGATGTGAGCAGCACTGTTGACCAACCATGTCATATTCAAAGTGAAAATATAACGCAGCATTGTTGAAGTGAAAAATGCATTAACATATGTTTCGTTCCAAAAATAAACCGGTACTATTGTGGGAATGATAAAGCAGAACAATAACAGTAATGGAACATAAAATCTGAAACACAATTTTTAAATTTTTGATTACCACAGATTTCATAAATATTATTTAGTCAAAAAAAGTTATAAAAATTGGATCTTACTTTTTTTGAAACATAACTATGGAATCTTTTTTTAAATCAGACATATCAATTTTTGAGCATTTATCATAGTAATCTGGGTGTCTACGAACTACAAGCCACCCAACGTGTGAGAAAAAAAATCCTCTCTTAGCATTATGTGGATCTGAGTTTGTATCTGTATATTTGTGATGAATTCGGTGATCCATGCACCACTCATAAATATGATTCTAAAAATTAAAAATTAAAACTTTATTATGATAGGTATATTTTTATATTTTTATTAAATTTAAATTAACAACCTCAAATGCCATGGTACTCATCAACATTAAAATAAATCGTAAAGGCCATTTTGCTTTGTATGATTTATGTGACCACAAACGGTGAAGTCCAGCTGTTACACCTAAACCTGATAATATCCATGAACATATTCCTAAAAAAAAAAAAAACAGAAAAATAACTAAAATATAATACTAGGCAAGCAGCTAGTTATTTATTGTTATCAATGAAAATTATTAAAATCCTATGATTATTGTATGCAAATAATACTAATAAACATCATACAGTTAATCTCATGATATGATTAAGATTGTAAGGTAAGATAAATTTAAGTGTAGTAAGTTTAACCTGATAAAACAATTATGAGTTTTCTAATTTTTTCTTGAATTTCAAAAGCCAAAGTTTAATCCAATATGCTTCATTTGTTATAAAAATTATTATTGTAATTTAGGAACCATTCAAACAATTCTCTTTAATTTTAATGAAATACTTTATTTTAAATTTTGCATTATATTTCTTTTTTCAGATTAAGCCAATAAAATTTAGTAAGTAGGTTCCTAGTTATTAAAAAGTTTAAAAATTAGTATTTCAACATATAATATATACGTACCATAAAATGTTGTTAGTAATTTAGTTGATGTAAATGCTAAGTACAATCCATAAATAGCTGACAGATGACCAGCAACAAAGAATAATACAATGCCCCATAATATATCAATCTTTACTGGTTCGAGAGAACTCAAGTTTTCCACTCTGTCTTGTTTATTTTTGTCCACTGCATTGAGATCAGTCTAAAGTTTAAAACGAGTTTTAAAACACATATTATAGTTATGAAAAATCCAATAGACAGGAGACGAGAGAACAATCACACGTAAAAAAAAAACAACCAAAACGCAATTTTCAAAAACCTAAAATAATTAATTTTCTTCAACCTAATGATTTACCTCCATCATCGTGTTTTCCGAGTCGTTCGCGGCTCTGGGGTCGTCCATGGCTCTGGAAGTGTTCATTTTTTCACTGGTTGCGTTGAATTCACCTGAACTAATGATCAGCCAAAAACTGAGATTGATTTTATATACCTACGGGGAAGTATGATAATTAAGCACGTACAGATTAGAGTCGGGTCAAAGGTGGTAGGCACAATACACATCTTTAGAATGCGGACGAAAATAAAAACAAGATTAGACTCAGATACTGTAGCTGTCACAGTCCAAACACCACTATTTTCCTGGTCACAAGCAATGCGTAGTGAGTCACTTACCTACACACTCATATTATTATTTGTAAAATATGTATAAATATACGATGCGTTTTCTTTAGCGTCCCAGACGCCGAGTCATGCCACAAAACAACTATTAAGTAGTGGTACACTTATCTAATTAGTCGTCTACTGCTGTCAATTTAACTGTAATATTCATTTATCTCCGGGCCCCGTTGGGAGTTTGAACTTCAAAATATTTGCAAAGGTATATTAATATGATGAGTCGATCGCTAATTATAACAAATTAAATTTTATATTTTTTTATTATGTATGATCCTTAATAATTGTTATACAATTGTCGAACTCACTTCCTTCGAGTCAGCGCGTCGTAATTAGACAACGCTATTCATTTTTTGTAGTTCATAACTTCGTAATACGTACTACGTAATGTAAGATACATTGTTATCATATTAATGTGATCAACCGAAGTGAACAGAATAACACTGATGAGTGATGAACATTTCTACGGGCACGACAATGATAAACCGGCGACCGGAATGCCGGATGGCGGACCTGTTGTTGTCGACACCACGGACTCGTACCACGGTAAAAGATTTAATAATCCTAGTTCGTGATGCGGAATACTCAAATATGTTGGCATCAGTGCGGCGGCGATTCGGCAAATACAGTTAATTTTTTTATAGTTCTGTATTTTTTGATTTTCTGAAACACCCCCGTCTGACGACGTCAACCTTTTTTTAATTGTACTTTGTTTCTATATCTATTAATCCCGTTTCGTGAAAAGTTCTTAAGTAGTTTTGAACAGGGAAAGAAGCACGGAATATCTACCATCTACGACAACGACTTGTTTTAATCATAAATAGTTGTTGGTCTTTGTTTTATAATATCAAGTATGATAATGGTGTGTATATTAAAACTTTAAGTCTTTAAATATCATTTTTTGCTGACACAGCCTAACGTTTTTAAAACAAATAAAAAAAGGGCATCGTACCATAGGTAATAGTGCTCTGATTTATTCTATGAACAATTATATGAGCTTATATCATAATAAATAGGTATCTACTATCTACTCATTATTATGAGGTCTGTGAATGTGTTCACTAATAATATTTTTTGATTTCTCATTTATTTAAAAAAATGATTCGGAAAGATCTGTCATATTCACAAATCACATAAATTACTAATTATATTATGAATATTGCCGCCTCTTTTGTACTGTTTATTTATCATTTTAATTTATCTAGGTGTTTTTTTAGGAAAATATTTTAATATTTAGTATTATACCTACTAATTTATAAAATATTTATGCAAAACTTGTCCAAGTATTGACTACCACTTAATCACTTTACTATAGAATCACTGTTCAGTCTTCGATTGTATAAAAACCATTTCTGTAGGTTACTGTTTGAATACAATCACTAAAGATATTTTTCTGTACCTACTTACCTAATACAATTTATTTTAAGATCATAATGACAATTTAAGTTTTAATTTAATTATTGTTCTGTGATTCAAGTGTAGTTGTTCGATCGCGGAACGGTTTTTCCTGTTGGCACATTATATAATATATATTATCACCTCGGGATACCACAGATATGGCAGAAGATAAGCTGCATCCGTCAAGCTCCCCCTTCCTCTGTCTGGTGACTTTTTGATCAGCCGATGGCCGAGCCCCCGGCGTTTGTTCTTTTTCGACGGTTGACCTGAGCGCGACTTGCTCCCGTCACCGTTCGCATTGCGTGTAGCAACCAACCTCGTGTGATCACGAGGTGTCATTTTGCCACTTCGAAAGTTTGGTATCGAGTGTGCCCAAATTATATGCAACGGGTGCTTGCCATCATCATCTGCGGTCATCGTCGGCTTCGAGGAGACAGATTATTCGGACTGTCGACAGGTCGTATTCTATCCACTCATACTTGCGCTCACTCGTGTTCAGTGGTCATTTCAATTATTATTTGTACACTACGACCTTATATATATTTTTTTATACCTGTGGCATTGCAAGCCATTTGTATTTTTGTATTTAAGCGCCTATATGCTATAGGAAGTATTATGTGTGCAATTATTGTTATATTGTATTATTTGTATTCTAACGGATTGGGCGCCCGCATATTATTATTCTGTATTACGTATTTGTTCACAAACATTATAATCTTGTATAATATATATACCGTACGGTCAACGGCGGGAGTATTGTCGTCTTCTTAAAAATAGTATTATTTTATCATTCGTGTGAGTAACCCCTCCCGCTCCTGTTCTCAACATAATTCGCGAGTCGTTGCCGATAACCGCCGTAATCGTAGGATCGGCAACGGCGAAAACATTTTGGTAGCAGAGCGTGGTTCTGACCTTATAGGGAGGTTCAGCAGCGTATTGTGTTGAGACGGTGGTGTTGGTCGCCGTGGTTGTTGCCGGGGCTCACGTGGGTGCACAGTGCTTGGTTAAACGCCAGTTATTATATATTTATTGTCCTAAGCGTAAATCGTGTGGTTATAGCATTTTACTTTTATCATGGCTAGCGGGACTGATTCTGACAGCGTGCGTGGCGCTAGGCGTTTAGAGCGCGTCAAACTCAGGCGTTCGAATGTAATATCACAGATTAAGGCCGTGCATGAGTTAGCATTACAGGTTGAAGAGCGACCCGATCTAGGTCCGACCGTTACACTTTTAACCGCTGATTTAGACTCTTTGTGGACGCAGTTTAGGTTTGAAGACGATGCGGTGTTAGACGGCTTAACCGAGTTAGATAGATCTTCCGAGTATGACGTCGGTTTAACCGCTGAAATACGTAAATGTATTAGTGAGTGTAGGGTCGCGGTGGCGAAGTTAGTTCCTAAGGGTGCTGAGGCAATCGACATGTCGTATCTTCAGGCTAGGTTAGGATCGACCGAATCTCCTCAGGAAAGTTGCCAAAATCAGTTGCCGCGACTACCGGAAATTCCGCTCCCCGAGTTCAACGGGGTTTTCGGCTATGGCCCACATTCCGCGATAGATTTAAGGAACAAGTAGACGCGCGGCGCCAGCTTTCCAACATTGACAAGATGTACTACTTAATCGGGTGTCTTACGGGTGAAGCGGCCGACGCGATACGCGGTGTTCCGGTGTCCGGGGAAAATGATGGTCTCGCGTGGTCCCTTTTGTCCGAGCGATTTTATCGACCTCGATTAGTCGCCACCTCGTTACTTGATCAATTACTAAGCTCGCCTGTCGCAGGAGTCCTTACATGACCTTAATAATTTTGTAGGCATGGTTAACGAAAGTATGTCGCTATTAGAAGCACTAAAAGTACCGAATTTGGGGTCCTTCATATTATTTACAATTGCATTTAAGTGTTTGCCTGTTACCACGCGCAAAATGTTCGAGTCAGCGAGTACAGCTGATTATCCGTCTATAATCGATTTATTAAAGTTTGTTCGTTCGCGTGTGTCTATCTTGGAGAACGACGCTGACGTGGGAAAAAGTGGTAACGTTGCCGCGCCGGTAAAGGTGGGAAAGCCGCCAAGTACATCCCGTAGAATGGGGATCACTACGGGAAGTCAAAAGGGTCCCGTCCGGTGTCATTTGTGACGGCTAAGGAACACGTAAATTGTCCATGTTGTACCGGAACACATACGTTAACCGCATGTATGAGATTCAAGTCCTGGGCGGCCGGAGACCGAACACGGTGGGCGCGAGAGAACCGCGTGTGTTTTAATTGTTTGAGCGTTGGTCACTGGGTCCCGAAATGTAAGGTGAAGCCTAATTGTAACGAATGTTCGCGCAAACATCACACACTTCTACATTTGTCATCCGACGAGCGAGATGGCGGGGAGGAACAACTTGTCCAGGCCGACTCATCTGTGTGTGCGTCCGTGGTGAGGCGCCCGTCCCCACATCCATCTAATGCCATTATTTTGGGTACCGCGCTCGTGCACATGCGGGATAGGTCCGGTTCGGTGCAGACAATGCGGGCGCTTATTGATAGCGCATCACAGGTTAGTATAATCACCGCCGCGTGTGTTAAGCGATTAGGAATGAAACCGTCGCGTTGGACTGCACCGATAAGCGGTTTGTCTGGGACAAAGGTAGCCGAAGTGCAAGGACGCGTAGAATGTATAGTGCAACCTAGGTTTGCGTCCGATCCGGTGCTGCCTGTTCAGGCATGGGTGTTGCCCACCATAACAAGCGACTTACCGCAAAAATCGTTAGCGGCGTGTGTGAAAGACCGGTATTCTAATCTTGCACTCGCGGATCCATCATTTTATCTGACGGCACCAATCGATGTGTTATTAGGAGGGGACGTATACGGGTCTATAATGGACGGGCGGAAAGTGTCGATCGACGACACGTTACCGACAGCATTAAGCTCAGTATTTGGCTGGATCCTTATCGGTCCGATCGTTGACACAGTTAATCATTCTTATCAGTCGTTACCTATATGTATGACCACGTCTATTGAGGGGATAATGGAGCGCTTTTGGCACGCCGAGGAACCCGAAACGGCGCCCGTCACGTTCACAGATGTTGCGAACAAATATTTCGCACTGAAATGACACGCCTGCCGTCGGGTCGTTTTGCGGTGCCGTTACCATTTCGCGGACCTGTAGGAACACATGTGGGGTCTCGCGAGGTAGCCGTGCGGCGTTTCGACGCGCTCGAGCGTAGACTGTCCGCGAATCCGTTCTTAAAATCGTTGTATGTAAATTTTATGTCCGAGTATATCGCGTTAGGACATATGTCGGTGGCAACGTCTCCGGGGTAATACATAATTCCTCATCATGCCGTCTATCGCCCGGAGGTCGATCCTAATAAAATTCGCGTTGTGTTCGACGCATCTGCTCGGAGCTTCCGCGGACCATCGTTGAATGAATGCTTGTGGTCTGGTCCCAAATTACAGCAGGACATTGTGGACGTCCTGACACGTTTTCGTGTACATAGATATACTTTCACCACGGACATCTATAAGATGTACCGTCAAATTTTAATTCTACCCAAATATCGGAGGTTCCAACATGTGTTGTGGCGAGCTTCGCCTCACGATGAATTACGTGAATATGAGCTACACACCGTCACGTACGGCGTTAACTGTGCCCCGTATCTTGCCCTACGCGTTTTGAAAGTAATCGCGTCTACCGATTGCGACGGTGTTGACCGGGTACGTAACGCGCTTGAATATCAAACGTACGTCGACGATATTTGTGACGGGGCTGATACGATAACCGACGTTCTGAAACTTCAGTCGGATTTAATTTCGGTTCTGGGTAAGTCGGGGTTAGAACTTAAAAAGTGGGCGTCAAATACGCCGGCGGTGTTGCAAGCTGTACCGGACGCTGACTGCGTAGCCGCTCCAACGACGTTCGGGAATGACGACGGTTACGGCACTAAGGTTTTGGGCCTAGCCTGGCATCCTGATAATGATTATTTTTGTTGTGCCCTGAATCTCGAATCGTCACCCGTTTTTACGAAACGCGGGATCCTGTCTCTGGTCGCGCGCATTTTCGACCCGTTAGGGTTTTTTGGTCCCGTAGTTTTTCTGGCAAAGTCCATTATGCAGCGGACGTGGCGGCACAACATCGAGTGGGACGATCCGCTTCCGGCCGACATCCAGGCTGATTGGGCTGCGTTTGTTTCGGAATTACCGTCGCTATTAAACATCCGTGTACCGCGACATATCAACGCACACCAAAGCGCGCCTTGTTATTTGTTAGGATTTTGCGACGCCTCGCTAACCGGTTATGCGGCCGTTGTATATATACGTATGTTAAATGTTGAGATCGATCGGTCCATTTTTCTAATCGGTACTAAGACCAAATTGTCTCCAACGAAATCATTGAGCGTCCCACACCTCGAGCTGAACGCCGCGTTATTGATAGCAAGTTGGTTAAATCGTATTAAAAATATATTATCTCCACAACTCGACATCGTCGGTTTACGGGCCTGGTCGGATTCGACCATCGTGCTGGCGTGGTTAACAGTCCCCCACGAGTCATTTAAAGTATACGTATCAAATCGGATACATCAGATTCATTTATTATTGCCTAATTGTCCCTGGCAACACATTGTGTCGGCCGAGAATCCCACGGATTGCGCGTCTCGTGGCGTAACGCCGGCGGCGTTAGCACAGCTGGATTTATATTGGCGCGGCCCCCCGACCGCATACTGCGAGCCGTCGGAGTGGGGTGATTGTAGTCCACCGTTGTCTGTGTGTGAGTAACCCGAATTACGCGTTGTGTCGTGTGCTGCGCTTGTCGATGACGAGGAGTGGATCATACGTTTTTCTAACTTTGATCGCATGTTACGTGTGGTTACGTACATGCGCTGCTTTGTACAAGCTTGCCAGCAAGGTGTCGCCTCAAGGCGGAGTGGGGTGCCACGGCCGTCGGTGCCAAGGAGTTCTCTTCCAAGCGGCCCCGCATTTTTACGAAAGTGTGAATTAGATAATACCGCGCGCTCGCTAGCTGCGGAATCGCAACGAGTACATTTTTCTAGGTTGTTGCGTGAGTTGGCGGCGGGTAGTCGCATCTCATCGAAACCGGTGGCGCGGTTAGCTCCGTTCATAGACTCTGACGGCGTAATTCACGTAGGTGGACGCTTACGGCACTCATTATTAACTTACGATTGTAAACACCCCATCTTGCTATCAAAACAGTCGCATTATGCGATGTTATTGTGCCGCCGATGGCATTTACTAACGGGACATGCGGGTCCTCGCGTTTTGACTGCCATGATTGCACGTCAGTATTGGGTGATATCCCTAAGGTCAGTCTTGCACAGTGTCCTGGTAAATTGCACCGTGTGTGTGAAACTTGATGCGAAACCGATCCACCCGTTTATGGCCGATTTACCGCACGCGCGTATACAACCGCGCCGACCGTTCGACCAAGTAGGCGTCGACTATGCGGGCCCTCTACAATT